GGATGCGTGATCTGCAACAAACGCGAACTTCATTCCCAATAAACATCTATCAAGTCTTTTAACAAACTAAAACACAGATAATGTTTCTCGCTTAGTTTGTGAATAATCATATTCAGCAGCCTTAACCAATATGAAGGAAGTAGTATCAGACTTCATGCGCGTAACGATAGAACCATCCCATGTTGAAGATCGGATTGGTTCACTTATACGTACAATATCATATGTACTGCTTCTCAAAGTCCATGAGGAACTAATCGCCTTTAAAGAAAGTCTAGATTACTCTGTACTTGAAGTGTTATGGGCTCAATCCTCATCTATCCTCTTCACTTAGCACACGCAACTGTCAAATCTTCAACTAAAACAACGAAATTCCTTCCAGAAATGAAGATAATGTCTTCAGCCTTTTCAAATTTTTCAAATCCAGTAATGACGGTCCCGTTTCACTAACACAAATCACACAAGGTATATGTGAACTATCACCTCTTAATAGCAATTCAGATCATCCTCACACGAGCAGTATGTGTCTAGTGGTCAGCGATGCTGAAACTTCAGTGGGTATTACTACAATTTTAGAATCTCAATATTACAAGTTTTTGAATGAAATCATGGACTCTATACTGCTTATATGAATAATGAAATCATGAATTGAACCAATGAAGGTACATAATCGCTCCTGAATACGGACATTGACTATCGAAATCATGGATAAATATAGATGATCATTAGAAACGCCCAACATAATAAAGTACGAACTACAGGGTTCATCGCCACTAGTAGCAAAGTGTGCAGTAGCTTGCTTGACCTACTTGATGTGTGTTGTTTTACAACACTTAACGCATTTGGCACGACGCCAGATACATGAATTACGAAAGTGGAGTTTACTACAAAGTGAGCATTTATTAAACCTGTTTTCACCTATGTAACCTGCTCTACAGTGTTTTCTTGGATCATTTTCCATATTGCCACGAGAATGAGAACCATTAATAAAGGGACGCGAGTTTGAGCGACATCTAAAATGCATTTTATCATGACGACTGGGGAAACTACTAGACAATTTCGCTGATTGTTGTAATTTCTTGGAACAGACGTTTGAAATTCTCAATTGACTTTCTTTCTAAATTCGGAATACTGACATCGGCAGTCAACCAATCGCAAACTCCAGTTTTTAATCGATCTCCAAAATTGCTCTTCACGGTCCGTTTTCGTAGTTCAAGTATGAATTCTTTAACTTTCTGATCATTTTGTCGCACCAAAGCTAGCACAATGTAGATGACCGAATAGTAACCCCTTAAGAGATTCGCGTGGTAATGAAATTGGTATCCCTGTGGAAACCAGGCTCTTTAGCAGGTTATAAGCTCTTTGTCGATGAACGTCAGGAAATAAGTTGTGAATTGATCATTTTTAAAAAGTCATTTCTAGTCATGCACCAGATGTCGAATCGCTTTATGCAGTCTTCCTACTTGAATTAATATCGAACTATCCAAGATTTGACTCCATCGTGACCCAAGTATTATAATTTAAAATATTCGAGTTAGTGTGCTAAGTATTTCTAAACTGGTGCAATTTGAAGTAGGTAGAACTAGATGGGCGCAAATGAACCTATTATATTTGGAATTCGTAATCAGCACGAAATCAAGTAAAAAGTAACCATCGGTTCGTGCAAATCGCACAGTATATCACAAGGATTTTATTTTATACGTCCATCACCAAAATGAATGTAATAGTTTTACTAAATAAGTCACAGCAATTACTTGCGAAAGTGCCAAAAACTTTAAGTCACAGTTAAAGTCTACAAAACAGGAATTTTTTTAAGGTTTTCAAATAACCTTGAGGGATAGGTAGTTAGTAATTATTCAGTGTTTTGTCATCTGCGAGATTCCAATTTAGGGACGAGCCAATCAGAAGCCTTTGAGCAATTTCAAGTTCATGGAGCCAAGTTCAACACTTGATGCTAACATACGATCGATTTACAACGGATTTTAGAGAAGGTGTTTATTGAAAGGCTACAACCCTAACCTAACCGTATGGACAAGTTTCTATACCGTATTATGAATTCAGAACCTCTGAACCTTTATCAAGCCTTAACAAGTTTTTAAATCATGTAAAAGAAGGATATCCACTGTAATTCATTACTTTCTTATTATATATTTTTACTTTATACTGTCTTCTGATTGACTGGTAATTGAAATTACTCAAACGCTTCTGATTGGCTCGTCCCTAAATTAGAGTCTCGCCGATATATGTACTGAAGATTACAATTTCCTATGAGGAGAGTAGAGTTATCCGGAAGGTAAAAATGACACGTCGGTTACATGTTGCCTGAACTAGTAAAGTCTGTCCAAAAAATGGGATAAATCACTCAGGATTGTAATAACATGGCTTACAACGAGGATTGTATTAACAATATAGAAAAACTCACTAATGAATAGTTAATCAAGTCCCATATTTCCTATATTCTTCGTAGCAAACCCTTATTTTTAGTATAACATAATTTCACCAAATAAGCCACTGGCTATTAGTCTGGAATGTGTAAAACTTACAAGTATTTACAGTAACATGAATTTTGTTCTGTGTTTACTGAATATCTAAATAACTTGTAGATTGATAAATAACCTAGAGTACGAAATGTTTTCAAAAGACAACCAGTAAGTCAAACAGAATCAGTTTGAGAAATAGAAGAAGTATTTGGCTGATTTTGTGATTGTTAGCAAAAGAGATCATCATCTTTAAGAGATTTCCCGGAAAATGTCATCCCTGTCAACAGTTGCAAGGTTTTTACACTAAGTTTATCTTTAGCAACCTGAACTTCAATACAATGAATGAAAATGCCTTCATCTTCTTCCTTCCTGCCAGCCGACTACAGTGAAAAACCCAAGTTCGTACAGAATATTTTCTTAATTGAAACACCAGATTAAAAGAACTTTATTTGGGTTAATTCAACTGTATATCAACCAACTCAACGACAACTAATTAGAAACATATATATTGTCAAAGTAGTCAATGCATTTCAGAAACATAAACAGTGTTCAGTGTATCCAGCGCGTCTATTTGGTAGACAAAGATAGGGAAATTAATTAACAGAAGTTAACAAGATAAAAATAACTAATAAGTAATGAGTTTCATAGTTCACATCACGGATTGATATTAATTAGACCACTATTTAAAAATAGGAAACACCGAACATGTTTCTTCCTAGTACGGGACTCCCCAGGAGTGTAGATCCACAATTCTGTCTGGGATGGGACCCAGGACAGTGGTGTTAACTATGTAATTCAGAATCTTCTACAAACCCCCTAGACCACTTATAACCAAGGACTCATTTCAAGAGGCGATCCACGAAGTGCTAGCGAGAAGCTGTGACCGGTGGAGCTCAACATTATCAGGGGTGAGAGTCACCCAACAATGACATCGGAAAATAACCGCCCAATATCTGGAACTGACTGAAGTTAAACTTCTATTCCAACGAATGCCAGATGAGAAGTTAAGTGCTTGCCGCTAGACTTGGATTATTGACAAACAGATTTAACACGAATAACGAGCCTTATAGATGAATTATTGAGGCTTTTATCACAAACTAATACTATCCACTACGCAAGAATGAACTTCCCAAGAAATCCTGACTGGTTTCTCCGTATATACTTTACGCCCGCCAATCAATCCAAATCAGTCAACATTCCCATCTTTAGATCACTGACCGATTCCACTCATTGCCCTTCACCGGGATCTTTATTCAGAATCATTCATAAAGATGAACTGATTCTATCGAGTTGGATAACAAATACCCCTAACACGGAGACTGGCAATTTATTAATTCGACCCTTGTTTTTGTGTTCAAGAGAGGTATTTCTAATCGCTTCTTTTACCATGGTCCTAACACTCCCTTCATACACTGTAAGCTTTTTCTGACACATTTATTCACCCGAAGAATAGAAGGAAGAGAACAACATTTTCCACACCTATTTTATGCTTAATTTTGATTCGCGCTACCCTATCATATAACTTTAATTGATACTCAGATTTTTATAACTTTACTAATGGTAATATTTTTCTGTGGACTGATATAATATGCTTAACTAAAGATGCAAGACCGCAAGATTAGTAAGTGATGTTGTCAAAAAAGAAATTTCCTTCGCTGAACCGTCTTTTGCTTAATGACACAACGGATTTCTTTCGTAGTTTTAAAATTGGTAAGTATAACAAGAGATCGCTAAATTAATGGTATCATTAGTAAACAAAATTTGGCTTTGAGATTGAAGATTAGGAAGCGCATAACATGATGAAAACTCAAAAGCTAAATGATAATAAAGGGTGAATACAACTCCTTTATAGTAATTGATTGTAAAAACTGACAAATATCGCACACAACACGATGATTTCACCGATATCGACGGTGAATTGTATCCACCATTTGGAAACAGTTCAGTTCAACAAACAATAATTGACGTTATATTTTGGTTTGGTCAGCCTTATTATTATTTTATCCTATCCCAATATTGGCTTGCATAGCATTTTGTCAGCTCGAAATGTGTAGCATATATCTCGACTACCACAGTCAGTAAGAATTTTATCTCATCAACCAAATTACCATCTCTACCTAGAACCATCCACCTAAACGCAGGACTACTTACTTACCCTGCAGTTCCAGAAAGACACGTACATTTAACTGACGAATCCCAAATAAGCATAACACACACCTTTGAATTCCATAAACAGTCGCAACTAAACACGATTATTTCAATAATTTTTCATTCATTAAACTATGACTAGTTTGAAGATATCATTCAATTACAGGAAACAAAAAGCACACAATAATGATCAAGTATAGTTACACTTAAACTTAATGCAACCAGTTTCATATATAACAATCATACATTTTAAGAAATGCACACATAAAACATCCTAAAATATTTAATAACAAGGGAACAATGGGAAATCTATTAATTGGTTGATTAGTTGAAGAAAATTATCAATTCAGACGTTATTATATTGAATTGTCGCGTCTAACCATTATGCGCTAATACATATTCTATTTTACGTCTAATGAATTCCTCTTCTTTGGCTCCTTCAAAACGTTCAATTTCTTTGCCGTTTTTGATGGAAATCACAGTTGGAACAACTTTAATCTAAATAACAATAAACAAGAAAGAAATAATCAATGATTCGATAGACATATGCTGTGTAATGCATTAATCATGTACAAGTTTGATATACAAGGACTTGTAGCCATCATCTATCAGTTGAACGGAGTGTATTTTTACACACCTGCTACTGGTGATGACATTAAGTTATATCAATTGAAATCATTCGCACATAGTATTAAACGATCAAGGATAAACTTCAACTACACAACCATTGTACATCAGGGAGCAATGGACAGTTGTTTTTTCATAGATGGAAACTGTTTACAAATGCATACACTTATAACCCTGACATGAAACAGAACTCAAGACCCTCAGAATCGATTCATAATTAATGATAATATTAATAGCACTACCAATTTTATGTTGCAATCGGCTTACCAGGTACAGATTCATATGCTGGGTTTTTAGCCACCTATTAATTGTGAAGGCTGATGATCTTATCAGGCTGCCCAAACTGAAGTAGGTGGAGTGGAATTCCAGCATATTACCTAGTATGATTGAAAGTCGAACATAGTCACCGTCACATGTTTTCATGCTACTTCAGACAACCGACATTTGATTCATTAGAAAACAATATAGACGTCTAAAATTTACTCAGTATCATATTAATTGAAATGCTAAACAACAAAAAATTAAATAAATAATAGCCTGAATGTTAGAACTATTTTACCTTATATTTTTCGGCAATAGTATCTAACTGATCGACATCAACTTTAGCGAGTAGCACAGAATTCATATACGATTTCATTATATTTTCCAACCGTGGACCTAAAATTTTACAAGGTCCACACCTAGATTTAAAAAAGAGACAAATAAAGACGAAGGATTTATACGTAGGGTTATCTAACACAAACAAACCTAGTTCTTTAAGTAGTTAGAAAAAAAACTCACAAACACAAATATGACAAATCGAACCACCATAAAGTACACCTTTCACATAGAATAACTCTGATATTCATTACTCAACAAATCTCTGGAATTTTACCAATACAACTTGTTCCGTTGCCGTGATTTATGGAGACTTTAATTGAAATTAGATTGATATCGACCGCATTGGACTAAATTTTTAGGAGGGGTGTTTGGTTTAGCTAAGTCGAACGAGTAGAGAAGCATATTCATAACTGTTTACTAACATAATTGTGTGTGAGTTGGGATATTGCCAGGACACCCATAATGAAGCAAGTGGTTATTTTAGGTAGCCACCTCCCAGCTTCTGACATAGAAGTATAATCCACAACGAGCAACGTCAGATGTAGTTCCATGGCAGTCGGTGACCAGGATAAGTCTACACACAATTTGTTTACACAAGATCGTAGATCCTAAGTACATCACTGGTTTTGAATAAAAGTTTTCCAACTGATATAGATGCATCGTCCGTATTCACTAACACGGTTTAAGTACCAGATGTTCGCTTTTCGTTCTTTTCCCCAAAAACAGTGCAGCTGCATCAAGGTGGTAAATATGACTTCCTTAGAAGAGGATATAAACCCATTCCTATGTGAAAGTAATTCCAGGGGTAGGGCTGACCCTCTAACCTTGATCATATCAGGACATATAGGAGTGCATATTCTTGAGTAGTTCAACAATAAGACGATGACAAGATTGGTCAGTATTAAATGTAAGTCATATCACAATTGATTGGAAAGTGGATGACCTACAAACTGACTTTCTTCAATCGCCTACATCTTATCATGTTTATTTTGTGTTCATATTTTGTACATAAGCACGTTATTTGCTACATGAGAAAAATATTGATCTGGATAATGATCTTGTCTTTGATTTCGAATCATTTGAGGGATTACGTCAAGAATACAATCTGGTGAGCAGCCATCACCCAACCACACTTTTTATCATTCCTTACCGTCCATTGATCATAGTGATTTTAACGACCAAAAATTTGTTTCATCGAATTACTAAAACCCTCCTCCAAAACATAGGAAACACTTACTCAATACTCTCTAGCTTTCAGTGTTTCATAGTTGATATAAATCTCTGACGAAATCTAACCTATCATATCAAATTAGGACGTATTACAAATGGTGAAATTTTACATTAGCACAGAAACAGAAAATTAGTAGGACAAAAATTAAACAAGTCGGATGAACGAGTAGTAAAAAGTGAAAACATTAGAAGTATAATTTGAAAAGAGTGAATGAAACAGGGTATCGAAATATTTGAAACAAGATTGAAACACAGGAAAACAGTTGATAGAAAAAAGTCGTATCAGCACTACCGAGATTGATTTTAAGCCATGTTACATAAACTCCGTGATCAGGAACTACGATTATTATACGGACCGCTTTTCAATATCGTTTTTGATATATGATGAGCAAATTAGAAGTGATCTGAAGGACAAGTGCATATTATTGGCTAAGAAATGGACTGATTTTCTAAGACGTAGAGATGTATATATATATATATATATATATATATATATATGCATTTTATTCGGCAGCCCAATATACTTTCTCGTTTAGTCTTGTGTTCCCACTCAAGTAGGTGGGAGTTTGCGCGTAGCACATCATGTATTACTATAAGATTTTGGACACCAACCGTCATAACAGTTCGACCCAACCATAAATGGTTTCACGAAGTCATGTTAGGATTATAACAGACCATACATTTTATGTATTAATGCCAACGTTGGACCTGGTAGTTTCAAATAAATTGAACACCAAGTAGAAAGTTGACAATAATTATACTTTGTTTTGTTATATCCCAATGAGTAGAAAAGTCTATTCATGATGTTTCGTGACTTGATCCGGTCATTTACTTACTCTGGAGAAGTGGCTTAGATCAAATCACAAAATGTCATAAATACAATTTTTCTACTCACTAAGATATAACAAAAATATATACATATTTATTAGTGACCATACTTAGACTTGTTTCACTCTACTTTTATGATAACCATCGTTGAACATCAAGATAGAAGGTAATTAAGTGTATGAGTAGCATATATCCTAATTACATTAGTCGATAAAAGTTCGCAACTCACTAATACACACTTGATATCCTACACCAAATCTCTGATCCATTCATTTGGTAAATATATGTTCAATTACATTATCTCCTCATTTAGTCATTATTCAACTTTACCTTGAACGAATTCTGGACATCTGATTTCATTAAGGTACTGCTTTATAAGTCTTATTTATTATGAGTTGTTTTTTGGTGTTATATTGCGTCTAGCACTATGTTTTTTGCTATATTACGTAAATAATTTTATGCAAATTTATGCTACCAACCAAGGGAGCTTTTATTGTCATGAAACTGGATGACAAGTGTTTGAATAGGTAAATCATAGCCCGTGTAAGGTTTGACTAGTATATTAATACTATACTGCCCATATATATATTCCAGTGACTAGCAGTGTGATTCGAGTCGCACACTTCGACATGTTCATGGCTCGTTAACCGGATGTCCCTGATACATTACATTATTGGTGTTCACATTAAAACAATCTACATGTTTAATGTTTAGATGAACCACTGGTATTTAAGGAGACGGGCATTGGGATTGAGTCTCAGTTTGCTAGACTCCATTACTAGTCAGTACCTAAAGTATGAGCATCCACTGCTTCTAAAAAATCACTTCGTCATGAGAACTTAATACATATAAGACAAAAACTCAAAATCGATACATTATATCATGTAACTGTGGGTAGATAAAGACACTGAATGTCATAAACAGCCCCCATATGATTAAAAGCAATCGCAGAACCAAAGTATTCACAAGATTTCGAGTCTACAAGTGAGAACGATACAACCCTACAATAATTTTCCTTAAAAATGAAGACATATTTCAGAACTATAATTTGTGATCTAGTTGATAGCACACACGCTCATACTAAAAATTCTTAATATTGAACAATCAAATTTAGGTAGTCGAAACACATGACGAGAAGCGATACACAGCTTTCAACTAGTATCTTTTGGGATATCAACAGAAAATTAGTATTCAACTCTGTATAAGTTACACAATAATTACTCACCATTTAGCATGAAAGTCAACAATGACCGGTGCGGAATTATTTAATACACGTTTGTCAAAATCACTATCATCTTGAATATTTGTAATTCCGTACTCCGGATAAGTAGTTGTATTTGATAATAAACGTGAAAACGGCACCTGGTTGTTTAAATTAGCATTATTTTTCAGTATTTATTTTATTTGAAAATAAGACCTACTGAACAAAATGCAGATCCAACAGTGCATTTAAGCAGACTGAAAGTAACAAACAAAACATTACATACACTTTATTGACATCTTACCGTATTGAGGGGAAATTAACCATCTGAAATATAAGTCAGGTCAATGAATTATTTTGGAAAAAATCAAAGGTTTGAATCGAAAAGAAAGAAATTTGCACTCGATGTATTTTTATTAACTAATCATTTGGTTGTACATCCATAAATCCTAAACGTGTTTCATTCTGACGACGAGTAAGTGCACCGGAAACATCAATGTAACGCTCTACACAATTGACTATACAACTCTCAGTTCTAGAGTCAAGTGAATTACTTAATTTCGTAACACATTTATCCCAACAGATTGAAGTTAACTGATGACCCAATTGTTGGAATCGTTGTTTTTGCAATTCTTGAAGCAGCTGACGCTGCAACCCTTCATCATTAGTCATTCAAATTTGAGATTTCTTAAATAACAACTACAAAATAGAAAACAGTTAAAACTTGGGACATATGATGTGGCAATTAATAATAATATTGAAGACAGTAATCAGGAAGAAACAAAACAAACAGTTCATGTTTAAACTATGGAAGCACACAAGGCTGGTTTAACAGTGATAATAAATGTGTAGATGTTATGCTGACGAATTTCCAAACCATCAGGATACTTAATACACGCAGCTGAATCAAATGGAATATCGACACAAGTTCAAAGGAACACTTTCCAACTAGCAACAAGCGCACGACTTTCAGTCACACAATCTAGCGAAACGAAACAGCACCATAAGATTCCCAAAACAAATTATTTGCGTCCAAGCATCAAACTTTAACATTCTCACTGTATATCAGGCCGACTGAAGTTGATTGATTTGTTGACAGAATAGTCTTAAGTGGCAACATTTTACAAGCATCTAGACTTGCGTTTGAAGAGGATATATGACAACTGATGAAATATTTGAGTGTTATAAAAAAAGTAGAGGAATATTAGACCAGTAAGAAAAGTGCTGTTAACAGTAGCTAGAAGATGGACACGGGTAAGGTTCGAAAATACTAACACTAAGAACGAAGAGTAATGATTCACTATGAAGTCTGAATGAACGCAAGGGTAGAAGTGAACTATTACGCCGAACGACCTCGAAATCGTTGCCTAGTCGAGCGAGAGCAAGGAGAAAGCAACGATTTTTATTACTGTTAAGTACGTTTGCAGTATAGCCGATGTTAATTCGTGATAGAAACAATGATGCCGAAAACCCTATCTTTAAAATCTGAGGACTTTTGGGGTTTGCTTTGAACTCGGACGAAAATTTATGGTATTCCCTCAACATCAGACAAAGCCACAAGCTTTCTTCGAGTTTTGGGGATTTCCACAAAGCAAGTTGAGATTTTGACGAAAAATCTCAGATCAGGGGAAATTGTGGGGTTTTGTCAGGTTGCCCTAAACCTTTTTATTACGGCGCCACAAAAACGAAACATGTTGCACCTAATGCAAATTCTTAAGCCCAGTGATTGAAAATGATTTAATCTGGTCAAAAAACATAATTCTTAATGATAAAGGTAAGATCCGTGACTAGTCAGGCACTCAGACACCTTATTTTTAAAATCGCCTCACTTTAGTCTACACGACCTTGAGAGGCCGAAATGTTGGCAGGCCCTCTGTTTCCGAATATCATGAAGTGGCAGTGGTAAGAAACTCAACGTTTTTAGGTAAGCCTCGTTAGCTTATGGTTTAATTTCAAGGTATATATGTTTAATTATCTACAGTCAGCTACCTTAAGTAACATAGCAGTTCAGATTAAAGGATAATCACGATACCTCTTTAGTTTAGCCTACTTGGTATTTGAATGAGGTGCTGAAGCATATAAGTCTAGAAACCAGAGCAATTTTATTTCTTATTCCCGTTAATGTGCCCAGGCGTTGAAATTACGAGACGAACACCATGGTATTCTTTAGTCCTAGTAGAGTAGTGTTCTACGTCTTGATTAAGTGGGTAGCGGTAAATTAATCCCCAAAATAAATAGCTCTAAGTTTTCGACATTGGGTGCTGACCTTATGTTTTAGTGGACTCATCTAGCTGAAGGCGCTCGGACATGCATCCGGACCACATCACGTGTGGTAACGCTGTGCTCAACATCTACTGCAATCGCTAGCCAGATTAGATCAGAGAATTCCGATATATTGGTAATCGCCAAATACACTCCTCCGATCTCCTCGACTCTGTCTTTTGATTTCTCTGGGTGGGAACGAAATATATTAGGTGTTACTGGTGAAAGCGTTGTCAAACACTGAATACCTGTGACATCTTCATTGATGAGACCGACGTGATCTGGTACACCTAATTGCAACTGTGTGTCTGTTCCTTTTTGGGATTTTTATATATCATTGCCTTATTTTTTATTTTTTAAACATTCATATTTCATCATGACTGAACAGACTCCCAAAGTACTCAAGCTTAAGACTTTGTCCCCGCCTTCATTTCAACTGATGCCTTTCTGGCCCGACAACATCGAAGCCCGGTTTTGCTACGCAGAAGCCGACTTCTCCGAGCACGGCGTGATCGACACACGTACACAATTCCTCGCAGTAGTCAAGGCACTACCGCGGAAATCCAACGGATACGTAACACCTAGTATGTTTACTAGTGATGTTTCCGAACCTTACGAAATCTTGAAACGTTCGATTCTTAAACGAGAAGACCTAACCGATCGACAAAGTTTAGATAAACTCTTCAATAACATCGACCTGCAACACAGTTCTGCGACGGACATGTTGCAACGGATGAGAGAGGTTATAGGCCCAAGAACTTTCGACGAAGGTCTATTCAAACAACTTTTCTTGTCCAAACTTCCCCAACAGGTGCAAGCAGTTCTGGTCTCGTTTCAAAACAACGCCTTAGACGAGCTAGCTGCATCTGCCGACCGCATTTTAGAAATTACGAAACCTACTACCGAGGTATTTTCAGTCAAAGAAAAGCCTCACACGACTCAGAATGATATAACCGATTTATGTCACACACTCACGCGTTATCTTAGTCTTCGTACCGACCGTAAGAGATCGCGCACACCACGTAGAAGCATTTCTCGTAAGCGATCTGTCTCTAGACCACGAGAGACAGATAACCCCGACTGGTACTGGTATCATAACCAGTATGGAAAATTTTCCAGAAATTGCAGAAAACCCTGCAATTTTCCCAACACGAAACCGAGTGACTCGAGAAACAACTCGGGAAACTTCCAAGCCGGCACGCGTTAACGGCAACCGTAGCCGGCGAACATAGCCGTCTGTTATACGTCACAGATGTGACAACGAGAGTTCGCTACCTCGTCGACACTGGCGCAGAAGTTAGCGTTCTCCCAGCGAATTCCAACGACCGACTTCACGAGTCGACCCTAAACTTACAGGTTTTATTTATTTATTTATTTGAACACATAAATATTGGTACAAGAGAGCGCCAATATATATGCGCCACACAAAACAATGAGAATTCGAAGAGAAGTAGAAAGAAAAAAAAACTAAGGAACGCAAAAGAAAAAGAGAACAATGACGAAGAGATTGGAGTAAGATAGTGTGGTAGTAACGACGGAACGAAAAGGTACAATCAGAAGAAATCTTTCAGGTAAAGGAGACACAACCACCTTTTATGAAGAAAGTAAAAGAAGGTTACAGCAGGATCGCAACTGGCTTCTATTCTGAGCCATATCTGATAACGTCTCTAGCCACTGTGTAGCACCATCTCTCGGACCCCAACCAGGGAGTCGTGAAGGACCAACACAAACCAGTCCTTTGCAGCTTTCTTTCATGCCACGACACCATGTCATGCACTGACCACCTCTCCGCTTCTTCCAACCAGTCCCAGAGTCGGCAAATAATGCACGACGTGGAATTCGCTGGAACGACATTCGGAGAACATGTCCAAGCCACCGAAGTCGGTGTTTCAAGATGGTGACACCAATTGAGTTATCATCTCTGTGCCCGAACACACGATGCCGAACCTCTGCATTACTGACATGGTGTTGCCACTGAATGTCAGCAATCCTTCGGAGACAGCGATGATCGAACACAGAGAGTCGTCTAACGTCCTCAACTCGGAGAGGCCAGGTTTCACAAGCATAGAGCAAAACTGCTCTCACCGACGCGTTGTAGATCCGGCATTTTACAGCCAGACTAACATCATGAAGGCGCCAAAGATGGCCCAGATTGGCATAAGCCGCTCTGGCTTTCACTATTCGTGCATTGATCTCATCACTCACACCCCCACCAGCACTTATGCAGCTACCCAGATACACGAACTTCTCGACTACTTCTATCTGCTCACCATCCAGAGTGAGTACAGGATTATGATCCTGCCAGTCTTGTAGAAGTGCTTTGCATTTCGAAGGTGCAAAGCACATACCATACCTAAGGACACTGATTGCCAACTGATTAAGTGTGGATTGCATGCCTTGGGCATTATCACACAGTAAAACAATATCGTCCACATACTCAAGGTCGAGAAGTCTTTCTCCAGTCAACATATCCACACCGCCATTACTTATATCCATCAGAGCTGTTTCCAGAATGTCATCGATGGCAAAGTTGAAGAGGAATGGTGAGATTGGGCAGCCCTGCCTAACCCCACTGCTCGAATAGAACAATGGAGAAAGGTGGTTGTATGCCCTCACTCTGCCTGAGGTGTTTTTATACAGGGCTTTTAGGATGTTAATAAACTTCTCAGGCACACCCTTCTTCAATAGACAATCCCAGAGAACAGTCCTATCCAACGAATCGAAGGCAGCCCTGATGTCAAGGAACACTATGATTGTTGGCCTTTGATAAGTATGGCGGTGTTCTAACATTTGGCGGAGGGTGAAGATATGATCAATACATCCTCGACCAGAACGAAACCCAGCCTGCTCCTCGCGAGTCAATCTTTCTCGGGTTTTGAACAACCTACGAAGAATGACGGAAGCCAATAGCTTGGACGCAATCGGAAGTAAACTTATCCCCCGATAGTTGTTACAAGAACGATGTGAACCCTTTTTAAAGATAGGGACAACTATCGACTCATTCCATGACGTTGGCACACTCTCTAGTTCCCAAACCTTGGTAAACAACGTCGTCAATTCCTTAG